TGAGAGTTTCGTTGATCCCACCTGCTCTCTTGGAACCCTGTAGTGCCTCCCTGGGCCGAGGCCAGCTGGCCTGCTGGAGGGGGTGGCCCACAGGAGGCGGAGGCCAGCCTCTCCAGCCAGGGCCCCTCCCGCAAGGCAGGGAGCCCTCCACCTGAGGCCTAGAGGTCCACTCAGCCTAGGCACAGTCTCTGGAGCACAGGTGACTTTCTGTTCTGTTTGCAAATGTCTGTGGCCTACTGAAGGCAAAAGAAGACTAAAATATTTTGTTTTGATAAGTTTTGTGCTGTCTATTCAGTGCTAACTTCATTCTGAAGGAGAGATTTTTTTTTTTTTTTTTACCTTCTGATGACTTGTCACGGGAAATTAAAAAAAAATACAATGCTGCAATTGACACAGATTTTTTTAAGCATTTTTCAGTTGTCAAAAGAACTTTATTTTGTTCGTTTATTTATATGCAGTACTGAGATTCGAACCCTGTGTCTCACACATGTGAGGCAAGTGCTTTACTGCTGAGCCACAACCCCAGTCCAACCCTTGTAGATTTGATAGAGATAAATGTGAGTTTAGTAAAAGACTCTCATTTTAGAATAAAAAGCTTTAAAGAAATAGAATAGACGTAGGAACTCAAAGGAGAAAAGGGGAAATGAAAAATTGCTGAATGTTAGTAAGAATTGTTCCTGTAATTAAAAATGTGACAGGTGGCTGGGCCTGGTGACATGTTCCTGTAATCCCAGCTACCTGAGAGACTGGGGCAGGAGGGGCACAAGTTGGAGAGCAGCCTGGGCGACTTAGTGAGACCCTGTCTGAAAATAAAATAAAATAAAATAAAATAAAAGGCCTGGGGGGTGTCGTTCAGTGCCCCTGGGTTCAATCTTTGAAAAAAAAAATTACAATGTAACAGGAATAAATCGAGCATAGCATTTAAATCCCATTAGGCACATATTCTAAAGTAATGTTAACATTTTTACTTTAAAATGTCAACATTTTGTAGCATGCCCCAAAGCACATTGTTTGCGACTATTTAAACTTATCATAGGATAATGTAGGTGTTGCCAGGCTTCGAGGTACTCACCTGCAATCTCAGCAACTCAGGAAGCTGAGGCAGAAGGATCACAAGTTCAAAGCCAACCTTGGAAACCTAATGAGATCCTATCTCAAACTTCAAAATTTTTAAATTAAAAGTAGCTCAGTGATAAAGCACCCCTGGGTTGAATCTCCAGGACTGCAAAAATAGGTAAATAAATTTTTTAGAGATTGAGTTGTAAACGTTGGGAAGGGTTTTCTTAAAATTCCTTTAGGAGGTACATAGCTAGACCTCTTGAAAACCAGTATTCTAAGCCACACACTGTGGCACACGCCTGTAATCCCAGCGGCTTGGGAGGCTGAGGCAGGAGGATCACAATTTCAAAGCCAGCCTCAGCAGTGGTAAGATGCTAAGCAGCTCAGTGAGACCCTGTCTCTAAATAAAATACAAAACAGGGCTGGGGATATGGCTCAGTGGTTGAGTGCCCCTGAGTTCAATCCTCAATACCAAAACAAAAAAAAAAAAAAAAAAGAAAGAAAACCAGTATTCTAGAAAAATTACTCAAGTAGCCCCCCTATCCTAGGTGAGATGCGCCCTATCATTGGGTATTGCACTGAGCCTTCTATGTGTGCAAGTACACACTCATACGTATTTTTAAACAGGTGTGTATTTAGAGAGCATCCAGAGCTACATATTTCTATTTAGATGTGTAGTTTCCAGTTGCTAACCAGAAATAAAGAACACCAAGATGCCCAGTTCTGGCAGCCAGAGGAACACTAGATTTGAGTGAGGAGAACTGGCCACTTTCTCTGTCAGGCCTGTCAATGCTGCTGCATAAACTGTTTTTCTCCTGACAGTGTCCTTCCCGTCTTCTATTCCATTCCTTTTTATTTCATGGAACCGGTGATGTGTTAGTCAGCCGTTCATCACTGTAACAAACTACCTGAGACAAGCAACTTAAAAGGAGGAAAGACTCATTTTGTCTCACAGTTTCAGAGGTTTTAGCCTGTCCCTTTGGGCTGGTGGCACACAGTGCTTCGTGGGGGTAGCATGTGGTGGAGGAGGCTGCTCACCTCACTGTGGCTGAGGAGCAAAGAGAGTTAGGAAGGGCTGGCGCCTGATAGCCTCAATGGCCTAACTTCCTCCCACTAGGCTCCGCCTCCTCAGGGTTCCACCTCCTTCCTCTCAGCAGTGCGTGGGCTGGCGGCCAAGCCTCCATCACATGGGCCTTCGGGGAACATTCCACATTCATATTGTAGCAGGTGATAAGAATGACTGGGAAGCACTGCTCCCACCCGGACGTCACCAGCTCTATCCCTCCTCTCTCACCCTACTCCCTCCTGGGAAATCATGGCTTTCACAGGTTCCTCATTTATCTTTTGAGTCTTTCTGTAAACATAAGAAAACATAGCTATCTTCCCCTACCTCTTCTTACCCCAAAAGCAACCCATTATACATCCCTTTGCTCCTTGTTCTTTTGGCTTAATGGTACACTCTGGGAAGCTTTCCTATCGGTGCACCGAAAGCAAGCTTGTCCTTTTTTCTTGCTGCATAGTGTTCTACTAGGGGAAATCCAGAGATTACCCTCTGTTCTAAACAGTGACCGCTGGTGGCTCCAGGGCTTCCACGCTGCACCCAGTGCTTCCATGAGTAACTTGGTGCGTGTCTCCTTCCATTCATGTGCCGGCGGCACCGGGGCAGAACTTCCCAGAAGCGCCGCCCGGCTCTCATTCTTGACAAACTCTTACTCATCCTCTGGCACCCGCAGCCAGGAGAGCCAGACATGAGAAGAGGCACGTCCAGAGGGGTGCAGGAAATAGGTCTGCCCTCCTTAGGAAGCTGTGAGCATCCTAGGGGACGGGCCTCTCTTACCCTCTCTGTACTGCAGAAACTAAGAAGTGAATGGACGGGTGGTGTGCAAACTCAGACTCCTTTCTTTCTTTCCTTTCTTCTGCTTCTTTATAATTTTTTCTTTTTTTTTAAGAACTAGAGGCTCACAATGTTGCCCAGGCTGGCATTGAACTCATGGGCTCAAGGGATCCTCCTGCCCATAGGCTGAGCAGCTGGGACTACAGAGGCCCAGCCCTACTCCCAGACTGGATTCCGCAGAAAGACAACCCCTAAGCAGGGAGGTAGCCGGCCCTTTCCCTAAGCACCACTTATGGCTTACGGATGGGCAAGGCACAGTTCCACAGGATCCAAACACCAATGACCAGAACCCTGCAGGTGCTCAGAACACACAGCCAATCGCGATTCCCGTTCTCCATCGGTGCCTTAAAGCAGAGCGTCTTCAGGAAAACATCTCCACTCTGCGTACAGAAACTGCCTTTTGCCCTAGATGCTTCCTTTCATCTTCTGGGACACCAATGGAGGTATCAAATGAGGAAACAAGGAAACGCCTGGTGTGGAGAGAAGGACCATGGGAGCGAACCAAGGCGCAGGCTGGGCCTAGATGACGATGCTATGGTTGGGACATGACTGAGTGTTTCCCCAAGGGCTCCTGTGCTGGCAGCAGGGTCCTCACTGTGACAGAGTGGACAGGTGGTGGTGCCTTTAAGAGGCGGAGCCTAGTGGGAGGAAGTTAGGTCAATGAGGGCGTGAACTCTAGCCCCTTCTTCCCACTCTCTTTGTTTTCTGGCCACATGAAGTAAGCACCGACCCTGCACCCATTCCCACTGAGATGTACTGTGCTGCCGCAGGGCCAAGCCACAGTGGACTGAAACTTAGTAAGTTGTGAGCCAAAATCAACTTTTTCCTTTAAGAAGTCAACTTTCTCAGGCATCTTGTCACAGTAATGGAAAGCTCAGTAGCACACCCCTTTATAAAATGCTCAGCCTCCGGTGTTTCATTATAGGATAGAAAAATAGACTAAGAAAATGATAATAGCTTTCACACATCAAATGTTTATTCACCACGGGCCAACCACAATCCTAGGCCTTAAGTCAATATATTCTTTCATTTAATCCCCTCCAAAAATAAACAAATCAAACCTACACGATTGTTACTATTACTGTTTCTGATATACCGGTTTGAAAACTGAGACTCAAAGAGCATACGGCATTGGTCCAAAATCAAGTCATGGAGCTAAGATCTGAAGACAGGAAGGTTGAGTTGTCTTTGCCCTTCATTTCAATGCTGTTCCTTCGTGTGTGTGTGTGTGTGTGTGTGTGTGTGTGTCTATGTGTGTTTACTTTATTATATTAGGTGGGAATAGATTCATCTGAAATTTTCAGATAAACCATAGTAATTGTTGTCTGTCAAAAACACAAATTTATATATTTCTCACATAAATAAAAAAGAAAGGTAAGAAGTCCATGGTTTCAATAGTGGTCAATATCATCAAGAACCCCAGCTCCTTATCAACAAAGAACTTCTACCTCATGACTCAAAATGGCTACTGAGCTCCAGTCATCACATTCCCACTTCATCCTGCAATGTGGAGGAAGAATGTCCTCCCTTTGACACGACTCAGAAGTTAAACACAGTACTTTCAGTTGTAGTTCATTAGCCTTGGTTTTACCCTGTGGATGCACCTAGTTTTAAAAGAGGCTGGGAAAAGCAGCCCTTATTCTGGAAAGGCATGGTAAAAATGTAGGTTATTAGGAAGGAAGAGGTGGAAATTGGATCTCAGGGAGTGACCGGCAGATTCTACCACATTCAGTAACAGAGACGCAGACCCTGGGTCTCTTGGTGCCTCAAGTGTCTCTTTGGTGTTTCATTCCTGCCTGTCGATTGTCCTCTCCGAGCCAACACATCTACTGTGGGGACAATGCTCCCATGGGCTGGGCTGACCCAGCTGGCCCTGTCGCACCCCGACCCCAGTCATTCTAAGCCCACTCTGACCCACTAATTCGAATATTTGAAGAGAGCTATCCACCCCACCCCACCCCACCCCACCCCCACACACAGCAGAGACTCCTCTTCTAGTTCATCACCAGCTGTGCCCTTACCTTCTGCTGCTTCCTCTTCTACTTACCTTCCTCCTCCTCCAGCCTCGGGCTCCAGCCCACCTGGAGAGCTGGGAACCAGGGTCGTGCGTCAGCCCATCCCCCAGCACACACCCTCCATCTGCGGCTGGGGTGGCCGCTCTACCTGGTGCGTGTGGCGGAGCAGAGCACACAGGTGCCATGTGATGCAGCCTGCCATCCTCCCTTGGGTGACATCCTCCTGGGGCAACAGGGAAAACTGGTTTGCAGTGTGTGGCTGCCATAGTAACAGCCAAGCAGGCCGCCGAGAGCCCCGGGGGACTTGGCGGCTGGTGGCACCTTCTACCAGAGAGTCCCTTCCACGATGGGAAGGCTCCTGGAGCCCTGGGGAGCGGGATCTGGCGTGCGTTCATTCATTCATTCATTCATTCATTCATTCATTCATTCTTCGTCTGTTTCTAGAACACACACGGAGGTTTTCTGTGAGCTTCATGTGTTTTGTTCTGAGAAGAAAGGAAAATGAGGAGCAAGGCTGGCTTTGGCCGGATTCGGGGACAGTTGGAGTGAGGCTGTTTGCACTGAGTCCCACCCTGGGTGTGGGTGGGCACCGAGCAAGTCCTGCAGAGGAGAGCTGGTGCCCGTCCTCCATGGGCCAGACCCTCCTGGGCTTCCATGCCCAGTCTCTCTGGCCTCTGGACTCCACAGCTTTCACCAGGGACACCCCCACCCAAGTTTTTAGAACGAGAGTTACCCCACCAACGTCCCCCACTCCATGGCCTTCGCCCCAGGGTCCCTGGGTCACCAGCTTGCAGATGCCCGCCACCGCGGGGTTTGGTCTCCATGATCACAGGAGCCAAGTCCCTTAATAAGTTCCCTCTCAAATGCCTCCAGACACTTCCTTCCCTCCAGTCGGCCTTGGAAAACCCTGGCTAATATGCCTGCCTGCCCTCCAGGATCTTGGCTTTGTAATGCAGAATGAGGTCGCAGCCAAAGTGTCCATTCAAATTCAAACCAGAGCTAGGCACGAGGGTGCACCCCGCCTATAATCCCCGTGATCCCTGGAGGCTGAGGAAGGAGGATCCCAAGTTTGAGGCCGGCCTCAGAGCATGTCCTGCTGCTCCTCTGCTTAATAACCCTGCAAGGGCTCCGTGCCCCTCGGAGTGGAGGCCAAGGTTCTTCCCACAGCCTCACATGGTCTTGCCTCCCCATAGGTCTCCTTCTGCAGCACCTTCCTTCCTGTTCTCTCCCCTCCTGGTCACATGTCCCTGCTGGCTGGGCCCCAGCCTCCAGAGCTCTGGGCCTGTCTTTCCCTGGTCTAGCTGCCTGGCTCCCTCCCTCCCCTCTTCCTCCCTCCAAGCTGTCACTCAAAAGGCACATCCCAGGGAACCAGCCCATCCTCATGGTCAGCACCCATTTTTCACACCCTCTTCCTGAGTTACTTTTTTTTCTCTTTAGGAGGTTGGTTCCTCTCTCATACTCTGTCGGGCGTCTTAAAGTTGTATTTCTGTCTCCCCCACAAGTGTGGAAGCTTCTAGGAGCAGCAAGGAGCGAGGAGTGCTTTTTGTTTTTGTTTTGTGTCTAGAATACTTAGAGGCAGCTAATAGGAGGGAGGGAGGGAGGGAAGAAGGAAGGAAGGAAGGAAGGAAGAAAGGGAGGGAGGGAGGGAAATCTTTGTAGCAAGAAAGCAACCACAAGTAGCATTCAGTTGGCAGAGTGCTGGCCTCACATGCACAAGGCCCTGGGTTCTAATCCCCAGCCCCACAAAAACCAAACAAAAAAGCATTTGCAAAAGAATGAGTGTGACTATGTTTCAGGAAAACTATTTACAAAATAGCTCCAGTCTGAGTACCAGGCCTACAGTCTACTGACCCCTGAGTTAGGGGATGACGGAGAGAAATGGATGCACTGAAGAATGTTTAAGAGGTAGAACTAATAGAATTTGATGGTTCGTTGGCTTCGGGAAGGGAAAGAAGAAGGAGGTGCTAGGACACTGGACGGGCTACAACCTTTCAGAGCACAGGTCCCTGAGCAGAGCCTGGGGGTGTTCCACCGGGAGGATCACTGTATCCTTCTATTTCATTCTGAAGTCTCTGTAAGAGATCAAGGGGAGCGGGCAAGATCAGCCTAAATTGGCTGAGGGGTGACAAAGGTCTCCCTCATGACCCTTCCCTCCACATGGGTCTAGGGTGTGCCTCAGGTCACGGGGATTACTCCCAATAACCGAAAGGAACTGGCACAGCCCACCTGTACCCACCCCTGGGCTGTGCACCTTTGGATTCAACCTTGGGTGGAAAATATTTGGGAAAATAGATGCTCACAGTGAACACGTGCCACTTCCTTTCTTGCCTTTAGTCCCTAAAAGGTGCAGGACAACAACCCTCACCTGGCAGTAGGAATCACAGGTCAGTTAGAGATGGTCCAAAGTACGCAGGGGGTGTGCAGAGTTCCCCTGCAAACCCTGCCCCTTTACAGCAGCCTCTTGAGCATCAGGGACCGGGTATCCGAGGGGTCCTGGGACCCGCCCCATGGAGTCCCCCTCCTCCCCCACGCCAGGGCCTCTCCTGCTGCCCTGTCCCCCCTTCCATCCGAATCCTCTCACATCAGGGGAGGCTGGGAGACGAGGCTCCTCCCCGGGCCCCACTGAGAACCAGGAAAGATCAGGGTGTCCACGTGCGGAGGGGCCATTGCCAAAAATATGTCCCTGGGGGCGAAGGCAATGTAAGGTCAAGAAATCAGGAGCAGGTCTTGGGTCCCCAGAGAGACGGACACACACTAAACTCTAACGGCTGCGCCCAAGGCAACCGAGGTTAGAAATCATAATAAGATGAATTTTAAAATAAATAAAAATAACATCAAAATAAATGAAATTAACATCAAAATAAATTTTAGATGGGACAGAAAATAAAGCATCAATAAAACATAGTGAGTAGGATAATTTTTTAAAAAATAATTAAAAATTTAAGTGAATAAGTTTTAAAATTAAAAATAAAGTCTACACGATGGAATAAAATAAATCGCAAAAAAATAAGACATTTTAATAAAATAAAAATCAGGAAAATAAAATGAAACTCCGGCGGCCAGGCCGGGCCCCTGGGCCCCTGGGGCGCCTGACCAGCCCTGGGCAGGCCAGAGGACAGCTCCTCACAGGTGCCTTCTCCAAAGTGGCTGCCTTTCAATGGTTTTCAAGGTCACAAGGTGACACGACGGTGCTCAGACTGTCGTGCAAACACACACCGCGAGTGTCAAGTGTCGTGCAGTGAGCTCTGGGGACCGCGGGACCCCGCAGAGAGACCTGCCACATGACAGACAGCCATGGCACAGGCAAGGTGCACTGAGCCACAGCCACCACCAGCCAGGGGACAGAAGGACAGCCAAACTCGGGCTGTGACTTTTCTCCCACAATCAGTCCTCGGGTTGCCTGGACACAGCGGCCTCAGCTGACCTTTCCCTGGGGGAGGACCAGGAGGGCCCCGAGCTCCCGGCCCCAGCAGTAGGTGGCCTGGGGTTAAAGTCAACGTGAGCCCGAGATTTTAGAACATATCGCGGGACGGACTGGAACCAGGCAGGCTGCTTGTCTTGGATCCGGACCATCCTGGGCCCAAAAGAACCTAGATTCTGATGGGAGAGGTGGCCTGCAAAGCCCTGCCCCTCAAGGCCCAGGTGGAGACCTCCTGCCACCCCCTCCCCCACGGCCACCTCTGGGGCTCCTTCCTCCTCCTCCCCTGGGGCCAGCCGCAGAGCAGCCTGTGCACACCAGCTCCAGGCCTGGCCGCCAGCTGGCCACCCTCACCAGGAACCTGTTCTGCAGGCCGCGGCCACCACCCTGACCCAAGCAGGCTGGCCTTCCTCCCAGCACCTAGGACATGCTGCAAATCACACACTATCCCCCCCACACACACACACACGCGCACACACACACACACACACACGCACACATGCACATGCACGCACGCACACACACCTAGAGTGCTTCTGACCCGGACACGTCCCCACTGGTGTGGGATGGACCCGTGAGGTCCCCAACGTGTCTCCACCCAGGGCTCTTTCTGTATCCCTGCCAGGCCAGGCCGCTCGGGGGACACCATGCACATTCAGATGGCAGCACCCTGGAGGTGGCCGTGCCCTGCCCTGGCTTCCGTTTGTTGGCTCAAACGGTGTACGATCCCCATTGGCTTCCAGGACTCCTGAGAGCTCCGGAAACACAAAGAGAACTGTCCCCGGACGATGCACCTCAAAGGCCGTCCGTCTTCCTTCTTCCATCCTGCTCCTGGGCTTCCCGTTCACCAAGGAAACTTCCAGAAGGGGCACTGCTCCCACCATGGAGCACAGCTCTGGGCCTTGGGGACCAGCCAGAACTGGAGGCTGACCTCAGAGCAGAGGCCAAGGGAGGCCTGAGACGCTGCAGAGGGAGGACCTCGGGCCCAATCCTGGGCCTCCTTCAGCAGGGGTCCTCCTGCCATGTCGGCTGGCACAGGATGGGGGAGAGGACCAGGAAGAGGCCGAGGGCAGCACCCGGCTGCTGCTGGTCCAGCACACGTGAGCGGCCGGCCCGACCCACTCACCCCCAACACCAGGTCCTCAGCGGAGCTCCTCGCCAGAGCCCGATGGCCCCATCTGCATCAGCTTGTGACCATGTGCCTGTCACCAGGTCTCTCCTGGCCTCCCCCTGGTGTCACATAAATCAGTCTGATAAAACCCTAGCCTTGCCCTTGGCCCTGGACCACGTGGGACAGCGACTGCCCACAGGAGACCCTGGCCAAGGGCAGCCCAGGCTGTGGTGACCTTGGCTCCAAACAAGAAAAGAGCCGACAGACGGACCAGCGCCCTCCTTCCACGCCTTCTTCTGTGGAAGAGAGCGTCCCTTTGCTTCGAAAGAAGGAGAAAGAAACTGAAGCCTTGTTCTTTCCTTTTAGAACCACCGAAGCCCCGTTAGAGTCTCCAACTCAGAACCTGGCATGGCCACAGTGTCTCTAAAGCCAGGGTCCTAGAAGGCGGGATACCGAGGAGGAGAGGCTAGCCCTGGTTGGCAGTCCAGCTTGTCACTCAAAGTGTAGCAAACCCATGAGAAATCGATGCCGTACACTAAAGTGTAGGCCTGGCCCAGGGCACGAAGGCCACAAGAGGTTAGCCGTGGACTGAGTGCTCGCGGGTCTTCTTCACCTACCAGTCTCTTGCTTCACTCCAAGGGTAAGGACAAATGGCGGCGGGGAGTCCGGTCTGGCTCGCTCGATCATTATTATTGACCGAGCAGTCAATGTGCTGCCCTGTGGCATGAGAGTCAAAAAGTCATGCTGTGGTTTGA